AAACAGAAGAGCCCTGGGAGCCATTGTTTTCAGTGATGAGGTAATTTTTCCAATTCACCCTTCATGAAAGAAATGAACTTTAATGTTCTTTATGGCTACTCACCAGGAATGACCGAAATATTTTTTTCTTATATTCATATTCTTTATCTTAGGCAAAAATGCAAACCCTAAATGGTCTAGTTTGGCCAGAAATTGCCAGGATGGCCACAGAGGAGATCAGACAGTATGGCAAAGGTTTTTATTTTTTCTTTTTGAACATTAAAAAGTCATATTTTAATTAATTTGTGAAAAAAATATTCATGTGTATTATTTCTTATGTGCATAAAATAATCTTGAATTACACTTACGAAGTATCAAATGTGTAAAATGTTTTGTGAGAAGTTACATCATTATTTTTCAGAAGCTCACAAAATTTTATTACGCATTTTCTTCAGTCAGTATCCGGAGTGTTAACAAAGAGATAATTTAACAATTTAATAGATAGTATATATGTAAGACAGTCACTCCAAAGTCCGATGGTCTCGCCAAACCCCGATGGTTTTTTGTTGATACGGATGCCAAAGTCTGATGGTCTGATGGTCATGCCAATGCCCGATGGGTCATTTCCTATGAGACACACTGCGCTAAAGTACGATGGTCTGACACACCAAAGTCCGATGGTGTGGAGAAACAATCAACGTTTTTGACTTCACAATAATTTGACGTCAATCCTTGACGCCATTTTCCTGCATTATATTGCCATAATTTCAGAATTTAGCCTTGCATACGCTTTTATTTATTTATTTTTTTTGGCGTATTGCTTACATATTTCAGAGATATTAGGATAAGTCCTTGCACACCACTCAACTGATTAGGGTTAGTCCTTTTAGTTGCTTTGATTTGGGTTAGTCCTCGCACACTAGTCAAGTTATTAGGGTTAGTATCGCAGCCACCCAAGATATCAAGATATCTATATAGTTGTTAGGCCTACACTTCGAGCGATTAGGGTAAGTTTCACACCTATCCGAGAGATGAGAGTTAGTTTTCACATAATGATAATTATTAATACTTATTTAAAACCTTGGCATGATGTGGCATTGTAGTTTGGCACATAAGTACTACTACGTCATAAACGTTAATTGTTTTCCGCACCATCGGACTTTGGAGTCTCATCACACTTTGGAGTCCTACATATATACAGTGGACCTTCAGATATCGAGACGCCAGATATCCGGATGCTTCAGTATCCGTATCATTTTTCATCGGAACGGAATTCCTTAATGTTATTTTGTCTTGTTTAACTGGTAATTCAGATATCCAGACGCTTCACATATCCGGACAAATTTACTGGGAGCCAAAGCATCCAGATAAATGAGGCTCCACTGTATATAAGTATTTTTCTTTCTACTTTCACTTTTGTAGAGGGTAAGACAATCGTGGTATTAGAGGCAGCCATTCTACTGAAGGCAGGCTGGGAGACCATGTGTCATGAAGTTTGGGGGTGTGTCATTCCTTTAGCAGAGGTACAGTGAAATTAAAACAGACAAATCAGAGATACAGTCCAAACTTGTTACCTGGAACTCTGAGGGACTTGAGAAATTAAACTATGTGATATAGAGGGTACATGTAAAATACTTAAAGAATCAATGGTTGTGATTTTAGAATGATTTCAAGAAAACCATGGTATTCTATCAGTGTTCAAGATACTAAAGTTCAGCTGTATTTTGAAAAAGAAATAAAATAAAAGTACATGTACAGTAAAACATGCACACTGTATAAAAGGCAAATGAAGGTTTATTGTAACTAAAATGGATCCGAATCTTTTTGTTTAAAAATAAAATTAACAAAATTCTGAATTAAATGATTGACAAAATTTTAATGTATTTTAATGTTGGAACGGAGATTCACTATAACCAGGCTTTCCTGTACACACTTGTATATGCAGTAAAACTTACCTTATTTGGATGTTGAATATTCTGAAATCCTTCCTATTACAGTACAGTCTTTATAGTCTATTTTTAATTTTTTTTTGTATCCAATCTGGAATGTTATCAGTCAATTTCTATGTAACAACTCACTAGATTAAACAAGTTTTACTGTGTGTACACTATATTTATGACCTGTACTAACTCTGCAGGCCGTCAAAAGACTGGAGGACAGGAATCACTTATCGGAGGAGGAGGCTGTGAAAAGAATAAAACTGGGAGTCACTAACGAGGAACTCGTCAACAAGTGTAACGTCATCCTGTGTTCACAGTGGGAATACGAGTACACTCAACAACAGGTGAGCTGAGTTTGTCATATACATTTATTGCATGATAGTGAGGGGAAATATGAAGACAATATCAAGAAAAATTATTCCCCGAAGGCTTTGCCCGAGGGGAATATGATATTTTTTGGCTGAATAAGTCTTCATGTTTCCAAAACATTCATGTAATGAATTGTTTATTACACCGAAACAAGCAAAACCTTTGAAATAAACATTAACTTTCAAATTCGGCACCGCTCTCAAATTCACTTTCATTTTTTAGGTAAAGTTACTATAAAACCCTTTGGTCAACACATTATCATCAATTTTGTGACGTAAACCAGGCTATTGTGACGTCTACTACTCTCGGGAGTTTTCGTTCAACGAACGAGAACTATATTGCGGGAAAATACACTAGGTGTTCCGAAGAGGTGAAATATGATGAAAAGCGTGCAGACAGCCGTGAAATATGAAGTTTTACGGTCCGATCATGTGATAAACTAGAACCAATCAGATTACGCGTTGTGTAGAATATTTATAATGAAGTATAATAAAATGTGATGTCATCCTGTGTTCATAGTGGGAATACGATAACATTCAATAATAAGTGAGCTGAGTTAGTCAAGAAATGTAACTTAATTCTGTGTTCTCAGTTTTTAGCTCACCTGAGCCGAACGCTCAAGTGAGCTTTTCTGATCACATTTTGTCCGTCGTCCGTCCGTCTGTCTGTAAACTTTTCACATTTTCGACTTCTTCTCAAGAACCACTGGGCTAATTTTGACCAAACTTGGTACAAAGCATCCTTGAGTGAAGGGGAGTTTAAATTGTTAAAATGAAGGGCCAAGTCCCCTTACAAGGGGAGATAATCAAGAAAAGACAAAAATAGGGTGGGGTCACTAAAAAATCTTCTTCTCAAGAACCACTGGGCCAGGAAAACTGAAACTTATGTGGAAGCATCCTTGGCTAGTGTAGATATTAAATTATAAAAATCATGACCCCCCAGGGTAGGGCGGGGCCACAATAGGGAATCCAAGTTTTACATAGAAATATATATAGAAAAATCTTTTAAACTCTTCTTCTCAAGAACCACTGGGCCAGGAAAACTGAAACTTATGTGGAAGCATCCTTGAATAGTGTAGATATTAAATTTTTAAAATCATGACCCCCGGGGGTAGGGCGGGCCACAATAGGGAATCCAAGTTTTACATAGAAATATATAGAACAAAGCTTTAAAAATCTCCCTTCTTATAAACTACTGGGCCAGGGAAGCTGAAACTTATGTGGAAGCATCCTTGGGTAGTGTAGATATTAAATTATTAAAATCATGACCCCCAGGGGTAGGGTGGGGCCACAATAGGGAATCTAAGTTTTACATAGAATTACATAGAACAAATCTTGAAAAATCTTCCTCTCAAGAACCACTGGGGCAGGAATGCTGAAACTTATGTGGAAGCATCCTTTGGTAGTGTAGATATTAAATTTTTAAAATCATGACCCCCCGGGGAAGGACGGGGCCACAATAAGGAATCCAAGTTTTACATAGAAACTTATAGAACAAATTTTTAAAAATCTTCTTCTCAAGAACCACAGGGCCAGGAAAGCTGAAACTTATGTGGAAGCATCCTTGGGTAGTGTAGATATTAAATTGTTAAAATAGTGACCCCCAGGGGGTAGGGCAGGCCACAATAGGGAATCCAAGTTTTACATAGAAATATATATAGAACAAATCTTTCAAAATCTTCCTCTCAAGAACCACTGGGCCAGGAAAGCTGATACTTATATGGAAGAATCCTTTGGTAGTGTAGATATTAAATTGTAAAAATCATGACCCCTGGGGGTAGGGCGGGGCCGCAATAGGGAATTCCAAGTTTTACATAGAAAAATATAGAACAAATCTTTAAAAACCTTCTTCTCAAGAACCACAGGGCCAGGAAAGCTGCAACTTACGTGGAAGCATCCTTGGGTAGTGTAGATTCTAAAGTTTTAAAATAAAAAAGGGAAGGGGGTTGTTAGGCATTATAGGTATAGCAAGAGGGAGAATCTGGTAAAGATTTGCATCACCTAAGGTACTCAGGTGAGCGATGTGGCCCATGGGCCTCTTGTTCTCTGTTATCTAGCATGCTGTATGCATGCATGTACATGTATTTTCTATACATCACTGTTAACTTTACATTTCTTTAATTTTAGGTTGAGAAAGCCTGGCAACTACTTCAGGATAGACTCCCATCTCCTGTTAAGTCTCAGTACTGAAAGTCATTCCACCGAAGGGCAACATTAAAAAAATAATTCAAACAAATCATTTCTTCTGACATTAACGTAAAACCAACTTTTACACGCAGGCAACTACACATGTATATCCGCCAGTTTGAAGAACTCTTTTGCAGTCATAAATGGATTCCAAATTGAAGAATCGCAAATGGAAGATGTCAAAAATTACTATAGTTGGTTTTCAATATATATAGATAATATAACTTCCATTAAACTTCAAATCAGAATGGACAGTTACTAGCCAAATAAGATTTGGTGAGGAAATATAGTTAGATGATCATATAATGAAATTAAGGCAGTATTTTTATACTTTTGTATGTTGTGAAATTGTGTTGAAAAAGATGAGATAATTCTACTCAGGAAGTTAACTCTACCAAGGGGAGATAATGCTGTTAAGTAAACAAAGATAACTTTGCTAGGGGAGTTAACTTTAGCAGAATAATTGAACTTTAATAAATCAATGTTTTGTAACTTAACAAATATTCCAATATCATTGACTTTGTATAAATTCTGCTGTGCATTCAGTTGCATATTTCATTTCTTGAGTACATGTACAGTGGACCTTCAGGTATCCGGACCCCAGATATCCAGATGCTTCAGTATCCGGACGCTTTTTCATCGGAACAGAATTTTAAAATGTTGTTAAGTCTTGTTTAACTGATGATTCAGCACTGCTCCACTGTATAGGTCTAATTTTATCTCAGTCTGTTTTATTCTTAAAAAATTATCATAGATGTGCAGCAAAACTCGTTTAGTACGAACACGGATATTGCGAATTTACGGATTTAGCGAAGTAATTTCATAGGTCCCAGTGACTTCGTTATAACCGAGTTTTGCTGTATATTGTAAGCAGATTGATTTTCCGTTTTAAAAGCAGCAATATTTATAAACAAATTGTGTTCGAAACAAGAAAACAAATTTCAAAGCATTGATCAGACTATAAGTGTAGTAATGTAATTTTACATGTACTAGTATATATAAGATTGTACTGAATATATAACATTAAAATGGATTATGAATCCTTTTCTTTTGTCAGTCTATTTTTTTTAACATGATCATTCTTAAGCATGTTAAGGTGGAATAGAAATCCTTGATTTGTATTTAGGGCATGGAAAGAAAAGATCAAGCATTCTGAGAGTATTGCATTAACAATACTACCGGTAATCCTCTACCTGCAAGTGTAATTTGATTTCCAATAAAACTTGAAAAGCCATAAAAATAATCATTGATTGATTACTGTATATGTTGATTGACATGTCCCATTTGAGAATTTTTCACTCATTTTGAGCTGTCTCCATATTCATGTACTTGTGAAAGCTAGAATTCAAATTTAGATTTTACTCAGCACTCAGGGCCAATTAGCAGTGAGGAATCTTTTTTTTCCAACACTTGCCATGACACAGGCCTAAGTTCTTAAGGTCTCATCTGAAGGCCCCCCAGTTTTCACTTTAAAGTCCTGAGCACTTGGCAAAGCAGCAGGTGCAACTTTTTTTTATCATCTTAGGTCAAAGGCTGTCAAGATCTGAGGCCTTCCTATCATAGAGTTCAACTCATTGAAGGGAAATAAAATGAAAATTTAACTTGATCTGTCACTCATCAAGATACATGTAACTCTAACTCATATATATGAAAAATCAGCTCAATAACTATAAGCTTTTAGAAAAATAAGTGCAGAAAACGAAGTTGGACAGACAGACATTGGCCCCTTGAATAGAATGAATGTTTGTTCGTACCCACCAAACTCCTTATTCCATTAACAGAAATTTCAGTTGTCCTCTTAAACATTCACTCTATTGAACAGGCTTCAATTCTACGAAATATACCTACTTTTCATAACAATATTCATACTCATGAACTTTTTCCAAGAAAAAAATTCAGTTTGATTTTACAATTTTATTGACATTTTAAAAATGTATATTTTCTTTAAAGAAATGAATCTTAATATGGCAGAATAATCTGAAATACAAAAACAATGGGACACATTTAATAACTTTTTTTTAATTTCAAATCACAACTGCTTAATGTGGATTTTCTTCCTTGACTGATAGTGTGATGAAAAAGTAAGACTTTATAACATTATCTTTTAACCTCAGTCCAGAAGTCAATTATTCAAAGTAGCTTTCTGCTATGTATTGCCAATATATAAAGTTTACGCATTTACATCAATATCATCGAACAATTTTAATATTCTGTAACAAATTACACATTTTTCCTCTGTCAGCTCTCTGCATTAAGCCTAGAGGTGTGATCTACGGTTGAACATTTGCAGTGACAGCCGGTCACGGGACATTCCGAGTGTTCCGCAAACCACTCCCACAAATGGGAGGCGTGGCCTCCATGGCGACATGATTGGCACCACGTAAACCAATCATCGATGGCTGTCATTTTGGATGCATATGCTGAAAGGAAAAGATGAAAATACAGTTTTCAATTGTTTCAAAACATAGTTGACTAGTATTTTAAAGAAAGAATGTATTAGCTACCCATGTTTTAATGACAGTGTAACCTACCGTAGGTTGAAGAGAGGAGTTGGAAAAAACATTAAATGTTCCAACTGAGCTAGGTTATTCCAGTAATGATTTTCAATTCATTCCTTATTATTTTGTTTTCCATCATAAAATTAAAGAAAAATTCTTCTGGAATACTGCCTTCATATTGTACTTATTTTAAATGCAATGCCAACTGGATGAATGTAATTGTGAGACCCACTGTGTACACAATTTTCTATATCCCAGCAATTTACATGCTACAACCTGATTACATTCTGCGCAGTTAGATTAAAACTGTAGAGTGTGTACGGAGGAGACCTACTTGTTTTATCTTTCTGCGTGTAGAGAGCTGATCCTGAGGGAGTACCAAGATGCATCAGACACAGAGAACAGCGGGGGAGGGGCTTCCTACATCCCGGGCAGCAGGAGACCTACAAACAAAAAAATTAACCAGTCATATAATACTGTAAATCACTTTTTATTCGCGAGAACTTTATTTTTGCGTATTTACGTGAGATGGTTTGCTCGCCAAAATTTTATTCTCACGTATAATATAATTTCTTAAGATTACATAGAACAATGAGCTCAATTTGTGAAAATTTTGTCTCGCTAATAAAAAGTCAATGATTATCTTGCGAAAGATAAAGTGTTGCGAAAATTAAGTGATCTACAGTAAAACAAAGACTGTACAAAACCTGTACAGCATGATTGTATATATCAAAACATCTAGACAACTGATGAATCAAATGATTTTAGAAAATTGATTTTTTTGTATGAGGTGGGGGATATGAAGTAATAGAAATGGACAATTATATTCTTTTTGTAAGAGGAAGAGAGCCGTGTAATTGATTTTTAAGGAAAAAATCAAATTAAAAAAAAAATAAAATTATTTGTTCTCTTCATGTCAAGAGAGAGAAGAAAATGAATTGTATGGGTGGACTGGGAATTGAACCCTGGACCTTTCATCAGATGCCCTACCAGCTGAGATACCAAGGCCATGAAAATCCACACACTGAACCATTCTTACATTAAACAGATATTCATGAATTAAACATTATACACCATACATATACACAACTCGCTACCTTTGGTTTAGTGGAAGTCAGGGTTCCGGCTGAGTATGAGTTGTATGGTCGTGCTCGACTGGCCACAGGCATGTTACAGGCGATGGATTTACCACAGAAGTTACAGCTGACGAAGGCCTGGGATATGACTCGGAAGTTATCGCTGGCGTGCCAGATAATATCAAACTTTGACCTGTCAAAAACAAGCAAGTATAAAGTATTAGGCAAGGTTTTGAATACTTCACATCAAGATAGGGGACAATTTTTACTGTGATACTAGGTCCTTGTAAAATTTGGAACAATTATATTTAATACAGACATTTCTATTCAGTATATTGCTCAATGTTTACCTGTGATGCCAAAGTCTCCATCTATCTAACAGTTCTCTGTACCTTTAAAAGAAAAAAGTACTGAAACATAATTTTTAAGAAAGCTTTTTAAATACATGTACCCGGTACTAAATGAATATGCCAAAGATTTCATCAATGAAAAGCAAAATGTTACCAGGTAATATATTGGTATAGTAAATTTTTGTGAAAAGGGAATGAATCACCTATTTCAGGTGAGATTACTCTTTCAGGACCAGAGGATTTTTCTCCCCTGAATTGTCTAAAATATTATACATGTATGTAGTACTTACGATTCAATCCAGTTTAGAACTCTCTCGTCTTTGGACATTTCGTTTGGGAGTGAGAAGACACAGACGAGAGCCGCTGTTTGTACGTCACCGGTCAGGTCCACATACTTAGATATCAGAGACACTCCATCCTGTGTTAAACCTACAAAGGATATTATTGTGAAATCACTCATTTTCAGAGGAGTTTGATTTTCATTGTTTTCATGGTTTGAAGAGAGCCATAAAATTATGTCCACCATGAAATGGTAGAATTTCATGACAAGATAAGATTACTCTTCCTCTGCTACAAAACTATTTTTTTTAAACCAAGTAAAAAATTTAACCTCCACGAAAATAAATCATTTCACAGTTACTGTATTTCTCTCCAAAATTCATAAAAAGATGTTCTGTGCTAAATCTTCTTGATAAGAGACTTCTATAGGAATAAGATAAAATCAGGGAATATGATTAAAGTCTGGGAAATGAGAGTCTATAATGACATCATGCAGGTCTTGTATTTTGAACAAAATCTATAATAGACAAAAATTTTAGGCCAAGCAAAATTAATTTCTTAATTGGTTCTCAGGCCTTTTTTCAAGGAATATGATGAGGGAGGGAGGCTTTTTTTAATTTATACTTTTTTTATTGCCCCCAAAACATGATAAGGCTTTTTACATTGTACAAAACCTCAACAAATGATGAGGTATGTGATTTGCTGTTTTTATTTTATTGATTTAGCAATAAAAGGGTCAATAAGGCATCCTTGGAAGACATGAGGGAGGGCCCGAGAACCAAGAAATTAATTTTTTATGGCCTTAACACAATATCTTGTTTTAAACAAAATTATGAAATATAAAAGGTATATTTCCTAGAGAGAGTTATATCATATACAGTTCAAGAGACAAAAAGCTAGAATATATCCTCATTTATTCAAAAATAAAATAGAAATTACCTCTAGCTAGAATTAATTTTTTTCCAGACATAAACAGTGCTTTTGGCTATTATGATCGAGATACACAAACCTGTAATAAGTAAACCGTCTAAATTTCCGGCCTCTATAACTTTCCTTGTTAGTCTGTTGATGTACTCCTTTAACTAATAAAATAATATTAATATCATATGACTAAGTTGTTTATCAATTGAAAAGTAACTTAATTTTGTACATGTATAATGCCAATGAATAATTTTTTTGACATATATTTAATACATTGTACATAATTTGACATATATTACATAATTCAAAATAAATTTTTTAAGATTTTAAATTTTCACAAATACATGTATGATTTTTAATTCATACAGAAATAAAAGTTTTTTTTTCTTTTCTACAATATAATTGTTTTTCAATAACTTGATTTTATTTATAATATATAAATGAACACCAATCAATTTTTTTAATGCAAGTTTACATAGATACCTTATCGTCATCCAGGTAGATACAGGCAAAGGCAATCTTGTCTGAGAGCTGCATGCCATCTTGGTCTGTCTGTGTAAAATATACAGAGAGATAAAATTACCTTAATATATGAATATTAACATCAGGCCATCTTTAAAATGAAGTTTGCTTGACCTCTCACAACTCTGGGTAAAATCATTGGGTCGGTGGGAAGGAGGGAAATTTTTTCCCCAGAAAAATTCAACATATTTGTTGATGAAATAAGAGGAATAAACAGAACACAGAAAAAAAATTGTGTCCTGGAATATAAAACAAGAGGCACATGGGCCACATCGCTCACCTGAGCACTGTGGCTACGAAAAAGTAGAAATTAGTTTATTATTGAAAAGTTTAATACAAAAGTAGTCCCATGACCAATCATGGCTTTGCTATTCTAGAGAAGATGATTTTTAAAGAATTTTCCTATATATTTCTATGCAAAACTTTGGTCGGCCATTGTGGCCCCGCCCTACCCCAGGGGGTCATGATTTGAACAAATTTAAATCTACACTACCTGAGGATGCTTCCATATAAATATGATCAATTACAGCTTTGGTATTCTTGAGAAGAAGATTTTTAAGGATTTTCCTATATATTTCTATGTAAAACTTTGGTTGGCCATTGTGGCCCCTCCCAACCCCCTGGGGCCATGATTTGAACAAAATTGAATCTACACTACCTGAGGATGCTTCCATAAAAATATGATCAATTATGGCTTTGCTATTCTTGAGAAGAAGATTTTTAAAGAATTTTCCTATATATTTCTATGTAAAATTTGATCGGCCATATTGACCCTGCCCTACCCCCAGGGGTCATGATTTGAACAAACTTGAATCTATCCTATATGAGGATGTTTCCCAATAGGTTTTATCTTTCCTGGCACAGTGGTTCTTGAGAAGAAGATTTTTAAAGTATACCACCTAATTTTCATTAATTCCCAATTATCTCCCCTTGAATGAGGGCTTGGCCCTTCATTTGAACAAACTTGAATCCCCTTCACCCAAGGATGCTTTGTGGCAAGTTTGGTTGAAATTGGCCCAGCGGTTCTTGAGAAGAAGTCGAAAATGTGAAAAGTTTATGACTGTCGGACAGACAGCTAGACAGACGGATGCCGGACAAAATGTGATCAGAAAAGCTCACTTGAGCCTCTGGCTCAGGTGAGCTAAAAAAGTTTTAAGTCGGGCCTTATTAGTCAGTTGGTCATGAGAGACAACCAAATAATTTTTTAAAGATGGCCTTACCCAGATACAAATGTAATATATTCATGCAGTCTGATAAAATTACATAATATTTAAATAACAGTAACCCTAAATATATA